GTGGAGAGATTCCAAGTCACGTTAGTTCACGACGTTTCGATTGTTAGTATCTACAATCGTCTTTGGGTGATGACTGGACTGATTCCTCCGAGAGATGACTATTTATGGGTCGTTCAAGTACTTTCACTTATCCCCGCTTTCCATTTTTTCCGCTTCACCGGTTCAGTGGGAGATGACCGTTTGGCGGGAGTTGGCCATTTTTCGCTTGATGATGAGTTTCTATATGTTGCATATTTCTACGCTGGCTTGGCTGAATACGTTGTTGGACAACATGTTTGCGGCTTCCTTGAATTTTTTCCTAAACCAATGTTCCTCTCTGTGTAAGATCTCAGCTTGGGACCACTCGATGTTGTGTTGATGGGTCCAAACATGGTCTGCTATTCCTGATTCACCACATCACCTTCAGATAGTATTTCACCATCTTTGATAGTGTAATAATCAACATTTGTCCTATAGAAAAAGCTTGATTTAACCATGGATTCGTTGTCTGGTAACGCCCCTTCATTTTAAGGTTATATATACTTCAGGTACATTTTGGACAAAAGCGGTTGGTTGCTGAAAAGCAGCTCCATAAATTAATGAAGTTTTTTAGCTTAGCTTGGCTTTGCAACAGATGATAGTATGCAAGTGGGCATACTTGAAGACTAGCTTTTAACCAAAACATCTAAAAATTAAAGGAACCATTCGTTCAGGCCAGTCTTCACTTACCTAGTGTGAAGACTGGCCTGAACCGAACGAATTGCTCCTTCAGATGGTTTGATTTACAGCCAGTCTTCAAATATGCCCACTGACTATATGTGAAAAGTTTTCTTTCCTTAACCTTGGTGTTGATGATGGACACTACCTTGCACTGACGAGGCTAAATAGCGCGAAACCGGTCTACAAGTGTGCCCGTTCCAAAATTGAAGGTCGACTTTTTCAGTTTTATTGCCATTTGCATATGCAGGAAATTTTCTGTGAAGATTCCTGCACTGAAGCCTGTCGGATATAATCCAACGCCCTTCGTGGTATTAGGCAGGGGAGTAGTTGTTTTCTGTTAGGTGTAGGTAAGTGAATACTTGCCTGAACGAATTTTTCCTTCAGAGATGATTCGACATTCACGAAATGAATCCGATGTCGAACCCGTAGGTGTATCTGCATTAATGAAGCTGATGAATTGTTAAATTTCACGGTAGATTTCAACATTTTCTTGAAAATATCAACAGTTCATGGAAAAACATCGCCCGTTACCTACTTCTAATTTTTAAAAATCCGTCCAAGATAAATTTTTACACCACCTACAAGTCAGTGATGAAAAACATTATATGTCTGACTGTATTACATTTGGATATATCTTATTTTGAATTTCCAACCGAACACACTAAACTGCAACAAGCTTTTATTAGCTGCACCTGTATGTATGTATGTTTGTAAGTCTCAAGCTCGGGAGCTGTATTTGACAGAATTATCGACAGTATTGCTTGATCTATTCGCGGGCAGATAATTCGAACTCACTTTACATGTATTTCTTCATTTGAAAAAAGTATTTCTTTTATTAACACATGCGCCTGCTGCCTTATTTGTAACCCTCCTTTGCGCACCTGCTGCCTTGGGCTTGGTAGCAGATTTTCAGGCTCCCTCTCCGGAATCGAAAAATATCAATGGCCATTTTTCTAAATAATATAAGGCTGATTGATCCCAAAGTTAAGATAGAATAGATATCATTTAAAAAGACTAAAAAACACGCCTTTATTTTTCACTAAATATCATATGATTTCTTTTAGGTCATTCCCTTGGTTCGCAACTAGCAGGTTTCATAGGAAAATCTATGTTCCAGTTAACTGGCAAAAAGATTGGGCGGATTACAGCACTGGATCCAGCTGGTCCTAAATTCGGACGCCCTGAAATGACAGACGATGAAAAAATGTGTGAGAAAGATGCTGAATTTGTTGACGTTGTACATACAGATATCCAGCATTATGGATACACGGAACCTATTGGACACGTAGATTTCTATCCAAATGGAGGTCAGCATCAACCAGGCTGTCCACCTCTAAAAGAAGATGGTAGTGTTTTAGAAACTATTTGTTTTGAAATATGTTGTTTCTAGGTCGAAGAGTACCTACAGTTTTCCAAAATGTTCACAATTAATTCACCTGTTCTTCGTATCAAAACCTTAGTTCTCTTCAAACCGAAGAATAAAATTTCTATTTCTCTTCTTCAGGGCTCCTCGACCTGAAGAACGATAATTCTACGTAAAAAAAAAGAATCACGTATTGATCAGCAAAAATGATTCTCGAATGATTTAAAAAAACTCCCAAAACAAATAATTGCCGACTTTATTGAATGTTTGCCAATCAGTGTTTTATGTGGGAGAGAAATATAGAAAACATGCAACCAGTGCAGAAAAAACAAACAAAACACTACACAAATCTTCAAGCCTTAGATGAGTTACCCGATTTATCCTTTCCATGAAAAATTCTAATACCTAATCAGAGTTCGTCTCATAGACTAGACGGACGTTTCTAAATCACTGTTGTATATAATGATTTTTTTTCTCAGCTTGCTCCTCAAAGCTCTAGTTTTATTAGAAAAAATTCTTGAAATTTGTTTTCCTGGTATTTTGCTGACATCCTACCACTCTCATTTGAGCAAGGATATTATTTTATGGAAAAATGCTTCCAAATCCCATAGGGTGTATTGTAACTATAGAGAATATTGTCAGCCTTATACCATATTTATACTTCATTCAGTTACTGAATCCCATGAAAAACAAGGAGCAGCTGCGGGTATATTCTGAAGTTCATTATTATGAGTTGTTAACAATACTTCGTTTTGTTTTTTTTTAATACATGAATTTGCCACTACTTTACCTTTCCCTTCCCTAAGTCAGAAGTTTTCAATAAGACAAAAGACATGTTTCACTGGTTTTTTCTGAATCTAACAAATTTGTTCAAGATGTTTTGATAGCTAATAATAATCTTCAACTATATTCATTCTTCAACTATTTATTTTTCATTTAGCATCTTCCCTGCAAGTATCACTGATGAAGAAATTCGGGAATGCTGTTTCTTAAGACTTCTTTGTAACATGATAGCTTGAATTAAAATAATCTTATTCTCATTTGACCTAAAAATTCCTCATCAACTCCAGACCTCATGAAAATACTAAATATTTACCAAATCTGAATAATTTACATATGTGAAAATTATGTATAACAAATTTTATCAGATAGTCACACAGATATGTGTATTTTCAGACAACTGCAGCCACGCAAGATCCACGTTGTTTTTCATTGAATCGTTATGGAAAAAAACCGAAGCAGTAGAGGCCAATTTCACCAAAGAAGGGTCCAAAATTACAATATCCAAAAAAGAAAATGGAAAAGTAATTACATTTGGGCAACACGTGGATTGGAATTCTAGGGGAGTTTATTATTTCAACACCAATCCCCAGCAACCTTTCCTGATATAACATGCAGTATTTGTGATTGTATTATAGTCCTGATACAACTTCAAAAAATGTAATTGTGAAAATTGTATTGGTGTGTCCTTCCTATCTTCCAGACACGACTTTGAACTTTGCTTTGTTTCTTCAATATTTGATTCAATAAATAATATTTCTCAACTCGAAGTACGCCTATTTATATCTAACAGGTGTAGTGTGTGTGTATGTGCATGTGCGTGCGCTTGTGTGTGAACATGGGCGCGCGCGCGTGTGTGAGGGGACCTTCGTCTTGAAGGGATATGAAAAATTCAGAGAAACGATTTCTTGAATAACTAACCAAATTCTTTTTTGACTTCAGTGTTCAAATTATAAAACTTAGATGTCGCCCAGTCGTTGATCCTTTAAATAGTACATAAACTCAAAAACATTATCAATAATCTGCTACTAGAAGACAATAGAATATTTAGAAAATTCTANTGAATGTTTAGTTGAGAAATTTATGGGTACTGGATACTTTCAATACATTCATTCCAAATTTTTTTAAATGTTTTTCAAAATGTAATTTTGTTCAATAAATTACAATTATTATTATCATTATTAGAATTTCCAGATACCTCATCCGCGAATTAAATGAAAAATCAAGAATATACAGATAGATTTTACAAATCATAGACAGTTGGTACAAATTAGTGTGCAAATAGAGTGAACAATATAAATGCAGCATTAAATTTAAATTTAAAAATGATTTTCAAAATAGATAACAAATAAAGAATCGAATTATAAAAAAAATTCTTAAATATAGAAATAGTAATGTAAAAAATTAAGGCTATTAGTCTGAATATGTACTTTGCATGAAATCAAGTACAGAATAAAAACAATTTCCTATAAGGTACTATTTGATTTTCCATTTGAACAAATTAAAATACAATTCAGTCACATTATATGGAAGTTTGTTGAATAATTTAACGTGCAGATAATTTCGTAATGACATTTCAATTCTAAATCTTGGCTGTCTGAGTTGTCCCGTATTTCTAGTTTAATAATTATGATGATCTGAGTGTTTGGAAAGTAGTATTTTGTTTTTATGTATTTCTAACAGTGAGTAGAAAATCAACATACAAGACAAAGACATTAATTCCAATTTTCTAAAAAGTGGTTGACAGTGTTCATTTGTTGGATGTAAACCAGTATTTTGCTTTGTCTTCGGTTTCATTGGCGTTTACAAGTAAATTTGAGATATCTGAATTTGATTGTAACATTGTGGTGTCGTCGGCAAAGCAGATTACTATACTGGGTAAAAGGTAATAGAATATATCATTTATATAGATTACAAAAAGGGATGGACCCAAGATGGATCCCTGAAGTATTCCACGATTCATAGACCTTTTATCTGATAATATACCATTTACGTATACTACCTGCTTTGTAGATGAGAGATAAGACTGGAAGAATTTCAAAGCTGATCCTCTGATACCATAAAATTCAAGTTTGTCTAGTAGTAAATGATGATTTACTTACACAGTCAAAAGCTTTGCTCAGATCCCACAATGTTAGAACAATATATGAAACAATATGCTCATCGAATATTTCTGATAGATATTAGTTCATATTCTATATAGAATGTTATTACTGGATATTTCTTCAAATATTCAATCCAATTAGATTTGTATCAACGTTTTAGAGGTGCATCTGATTTAGCTATGTAATATCTTTCGCCTATGTTGGTATCTAGTTAAATGACAAGACAGTTATAGAAAAATAATACATGATTTATTATTTCCTCCTAAATAAAATTGTTAAAATACTTTGAGAAGATATATAAAACATCAGAAAACTAACCTTAATATAATCTAGAGGTGTAAAACAAAAACATATGTTATATATTTACATTTAAATTCTACATCACAAAAAACTGAAAGTGGGAAGTAACGATTTTGAAAATAATACTATTTGCAACTTAAAAGTATCATTACAGCTCGTTCCATTCCTGAAAAGAAATCGATTAATTAATATAAATTGTTACTAATTAGTTTTTAGTATTTTGATTTCACTTCCTATTTATCTTATTCTACTTTGACCTGCTTCTCTAGCAACCCATCTCGATTTTCATCAACGTTTTACTTCTCCTTAAGTTTATGACAGTAATTTATGACAGTAATTCATAAATGAAAATTTCTATACTCTGTCCATCTCAGCAACAGAGTGCTCCAATACATTATCATGCATAGTACACATGATCTCCCAGATAAGGCTGCTTGTACAGAGTCACACTAAGGAACAACCGATTTTTTTTTTATATGGGCCTAGGTATCGGAAAATGTTTTAGATGGAGTATAGGGACACAAATCAGCAGTTCTTTCAGCCGTATCAGTACTTGACATTTAAAAAAAATCTTTAAAATACCGTATATGTACACACACCACAAGCATTAAAACTTAACTGACCACTCTGACACTTTAACAATGAATTCCTCCAGCTGATTGCAGTCTCATGTCAAATGACTTTTGTGATCTACCGTTAACACTATCAAATATTTTCTGATGGTTATAGATCGAAATTATAATTGATTTAACTTGATAAACCGAAACGAAAATAGGACAAATTTTATCTCAATTATGAAAAATATTGCAGGCAGAAAAGCAGCTCAAGTTTACTTTGTACTCTGTCACTGCTGTTATATGGAAATATAATAAAAATAATTCATGACAATATACATTTCACATAGAAAAGCATAGAAAATAGTACTTTCACATATACTTAAAACAAATCTGCAACAAAGTAGAGACATTTATTCATTAGGAACAATTTCAATTTTTTTAAGGTGAAAGATTTTGATTGCTGATCATTAGAACAGTAGTTTTGGTGTTTATATATGAGAGTAATTATCTTATTTGTGGAACATAGAAATTTTCTTCATGGCTGGTGTTTCTACCACAAATATCAGACCTTTCAACAAAATGGTCTCGATTCCCTCCTCATTTCCCCCATTCTAATTCATGATTGTGTAATATTTTCTTACCTCGTCCATCGCTTGTAGTGTAGATTGTTTGAATTTCTCGATAAGGGCTTCTCTTGGTGTTGGATTTTGAATTTTTGAAGGATAAGACATGGACTGTCGAATAGGCGTATCCCCTGCATGCCTTGCGGAGACATTTTTCCCTACAATTTGTTCCTCAACGACTTGCTTCATATTTTTGGCGAATACATAATACGAGTCAATGAACCTCTGCGTTATCCCCACCACACCTGCTTTCTAGATGAGAGATAAGACTGGAAGAATTTTAAAGCTGATCCTCTGATACCATAAAATTCAAGTTTCTCTATTAGTAAATGATGGTTTACACAGTCAAAAGCTTTGCTCAGATCCCACAATGTTAGAACAATATATGAAACAATATGCTCATCGAATATTTCTGATAGATATTAGTTCATATTTTATGAATCGACTTCAACTGTAATATCTCAGTGAATTCTTATTCAATTTAATCGAAATAAGCGTTATTTGAATCACTGCACTTTTGCCAACGTAACATAAGTCGATTATTTTCGTCAGCCTAGACATCGGGTGTTCAGAATTAGATAAAATTGACGAGGGCCGTTTTTGCCTGGTCGTGATTGGCTAAGGTTATACTGGTGAGAAAGTTATCGAAGTGCTTGAAAAGGTGGTAGTCGGTTGGCGAGAGGTCTGGCGAGTATGGTGGGTACACCTCGAACTTCACTGTTCAAGAACTCTTTCATTTGGAGAACCGCGCTTATGTGGAAATAAAATTCCTGAGAACGTTTTTCCAAATTGATTTAATCTCCAGCGATTCAAATCGAATCTGAATCGTTACTTTCGCACAGGCACCGCTCTTACAGGGCTTTAAGGATTTTCCGGTAGTACTTGTGTTTTGTCTTTAAAAAAAAATCTGAAAACAGTTAACAAATTAAAATTTAGAATAACCACGACATACTAGAATAAATACTCATTGAGATATGGAGCTACAAAAACACATGGCATTAAAACTGGAAAAACTCTTGAAACAAAGTAACATTTTTATTTCACACGAATTTGAACTTACGAGCTAGACTAGTAGACTTTCATAACGTTGTGTTCAATTTGAGTTCGAGCGTAGAATACTCATTTGGTATTTTCATGTGCAAATTGACAATGTCGAATGCATTCAGAAAATATTTCTGAAATACCTTACTTTTCAATAAGCACGAAAATGGCCGGTAAAAAAATCGATACCATTCTGTTCTGAATAAGTTTAATTTCATGGGACACAAGTATATGACAAATACCTGGACAAACGAGAAACGTCAGTAAGAATTTTCTTTGTGAGAAAATTTACAAATAAGCTATCGGATATAACACAATGTACCTCGAGATATTAGACAGGAAAGTAGTCGTTTTTCGGCTGGAAATTGCAAAGACCTACTCCTAGGAAATTTGTGAAAGAATTTGGCGTATGAATTTCTTCTCAACGCAGCCATCAGACACTGCTAATTCGTTTCTGTTCTGATGATGATGTTTTGGTTTATTCCTTGCTTGGGGCTCTGAAACCGATTCATCGTCATTCGTCGTGATTAGCTAGGGAAAAGGTTGTTTCTCGGTAGGTATTTTTCAGATCCTACTGTGTAAGATCGCTGGGAGAACGGAGTATTTCCAATTTTCATTTGAAATTTTTATTCTCATGGAACATTTTTAGTCAATAATTTTCTTGCAACAAGTCAGGTTACAACCGATGCAACCAGTTTTCCCTAACCCCAAAAGCACAAACCGTTTTAAGACCTTGAATCTACTTGACCTTGAATCTACTTGTAAATTTTTAAATAGATAACTTCGAGAACTGAGATTTTGTACCAAATTCTCCCAGTTTTCCAGCATAGTGTACTAGCAAAATGTATGTCTAAAAATAGTATGCTGCTTTATGCCTAGGAACTTTATGCTATTTGATTACCAAAAACTTCAATCTGCTGAAGTTCTGGATATACCTATTAGTTGATTGAATATCTTAAAAAATTCGTTTTTCCATGACAAGATATAAAGAGTAAGCTGAAAGTTATGAACTTCATTTGTCAATTGTATCACACCACTTTTTTGCAGTACTAAATCATCTTGATGTGAAACAATTGCTCTTTGTATAATCAGCATACACAATATTGAAGAAATATCATTCATTATTGTATCCAAACCATTAAATATATGAAATAAAAGACATCGAACCCAATACAGAGCCCTGTGGAAATATACTGCTGCCTCTCAGGTTTGGTGTTGTTGCTGACATTTGTGATATCACATATTGCTGTTATTTCTTAAGGAAGTGATCATAGTCGACATAGTGAAATGCCCTACTTGGATTGCAAAAAACCCAAATCCAATTGAATACTGAGGTTGATGTTGAATTTGTATGTAGGCTGAATATTACCATCTCCTATCTCATCTAGGAGGTCTAAAAACACTTGCTGAACATTCAAGTTATTGGCTGTTGGGGAGGAATCAGTAAAAGTTATCTTAAATTGACGTTTTCCCCAAAAAAAGCAATGAAAAATCATGTTTGAAACCTTTCAATTTTCCTCCCAGAACATTATTTATGATCAAAAATATTTTAATACTCTGTATGCTTCTATTTAAATAGTTTTGAAGTATGTAGTAGACATTTTTTCTGTAAATTACATGAAAAACAAGGTTTTTGTGAATAAATAATTTCATTAAAATCGGCCATATCTCATTTCCTCATCTTTTAACTTCCCTCCTCATTTTCCCCATTCTAATTCATGATTGTATAATATTTTCTTACCTCGTCCATCGCTTGTAGTGTAGATTGTTTGAATTTCTCGATAAGGGCTTCTCTTGGTGTTGGATTTTGGATTTTTGAAGGATAAGACATGGACTGTCGAATAGGCGTATCCCCTGCATGCCTTGCGGGTACGTTTTTCCCTACAATTTGTTCCTCAACGACTTGCTTCATATTTTTGGCGAATACATAATACGAGTCAATGAACCTCTGCGTTATCCCCACCACTGTATCAATATTACTTATGATAATGTTCACTTCACTGTCCAGGCTACTTTCAATTTGTTGACACGTACTAGCTAAATGTTTATCAAAATATTCCAAGGTTTGGTGGGATATCTGAGGAAACAAATTACAAAAATTCAAAAATCTAGGGAATATAAAAAAATGAAGGTTAACAAACAACTTTCAAATCCTTCCCATATTCAGGTGGAAGACTTACCGATGAATTTTTTTTAACCCAAACAAGTATCAGTTCTATAATCTGAGTAGTGTTTTGAATTCAATTCATCAAATATAGTCAATTATTTTACTTACATTTTGATATTTGTTATCTAAGTTAACACATGTTTCGTTGAGTTTCATTTCTAAATCGTTGATGGCAGACAACAAAGCATTTATTTGATCACCTTGGATTTCTTCTACGTTTGGTACTAGTTGAACACAATCCTCAAACTGAAAAAATGAATGAAAAATGGAACTTTAAATTCTCAGTAAACTTTGGTGAACGAAATATTAATCATTCGGAAATTTTTCATTAGCATTGAATATAAACTGACACTGCTCAGTAATTATGAAGATACCGAAACATTAAGTTTTCAAAATATTGTTTACTAAGTATATAAAAATACTCACAGATTTAATAGAGTCCATAGTCAATCTTTCCAACTCTTTAATTTTCATTAATGTGTGTACGTTAGTCCTCTCTTCCACCACAGAAACATTTTCTTTAATTTTCCTAATTTGATCCAAAATAATACAATCTTCCTCTATCCTATTCTTTGTTATAAGTACCATTGATTCTAGTTCCCTCAAATTCTTTTCATCCTCTAACTTCCTTTTTTCTATAGTTCGTTGTAACTCATCGAGTTCATTGCGAGTTTTTGAGTTTGCATCTACAATTTCAGTTTTCATAGTATCATCTGAGGCCTTCAGCATTTCTGTAGCGTTTTTAAAATACTAGAAATAAAATGAAATTATTAATAGATAGAATTTGTTTTATGATTTGTATTATTGTATGATGGCTCACCTCCTCAGTCTTCGATCTGTATCCCTCTGCAAGTTTTGGGACAGACGATTTGAAAATTTGTAGTTGCCTGCTATATTGAAATAAAACATCACCTAAGAGTGCAGCTTTGCTCTTGACCACTTGTATATACTCTTTAGATTGTTCCTCAACGCTTTTTTGAACGGAAAAATTATTTTTTGCTATTTCCTTACTCAGCGTTCCTGATCCATTTTTAATAGTTTGCGTATGATTTTTAAATTCATCTTTGAGTTTCAATAAATTTTCTGTAAATTGCATTTGCATATTTTGTTCAGAAGCTTTCATTTTTGATGACTCTTCTTCCTCAAATTTGTTGATCATATTTATCACAGTTCTTACTGCATTCTGCAAAACAGTTTCATTGGAGAGATTTATATTGAATTGATGTTCTAATTTAGCCAGCAAAATTTCCTTTTCTTTATTCAACAATTTTGTGGTTTTCAATAAATTTTGTGCTTCATTAAATTTTTCACTGGACTGGCTCTCATACCATTTGGCAAGGAATCTTTCTTGTTCTAATGTTTCATCCTTTTCCTTAATGGCAGCCTTAGCCTTATCCAATTCCTCTTCGTGGCGTTTACACAGCTCAACAGTTTCCTCAAACTGTCTCACTTTTGCTTCCATGTACTCCTCTATAAATAAAATATAACCATCACACTTCAACAAAAACAACAAATATGTCCAAAAAAAATTAAATACCGAAAAAACAATAACAAAAACTTGTTGCATCAAAAAAATATATTAGGAACAAAGTAAAACAAAGGAATTAGCATATATTATACAGGATAATCCCATATTAACAGTAGTAGCTGGAGTATTTACATTGGAAAACATTTGAAAGGAATCACTTGATAGATTTGAATCATATATATATAATTCCTGATGTTCTGATAGATAGATATAGCTAATACTATACAGGGTGTTCCTTAAACACATGCTAATATTTAAGGAGGTAATTCTTAGACCCATTTTAAGGAAAAAACGTCCTATGGAAGTATGTCCTAAACGCCTTAACTTTTGAGATACAGGGTGGCAAAGTTTTCAAAAATAATCAGTTTTTTAATAATAACTGAGATAATTTTGTAGACATCTTTGGC